ACTATGTTGGCAGGTCTTAATAAGGGCTTCCGTCTAGCTGCTGTACAACGATAACCCAATCTGTGGAGAATCCGTTGAACAGATTTCGGGCACATTCAACCAACTTTGGCCACTTCTGCAGTGGTTAATCTGGGATCCATTTCGATGCTTCTCTTTACAGCCCTTTTTGTTCTCTCTGATGGACCAGGACGACCCGGATGCTGCTCAGTTGTTTCCTTGCCGTGTTTCCTGAACTGCACAATGATACTGCGAAATTTGCCGCTGATTTATTCCACCATCTGCTTGACCAACTATCCTTCCTCTAACAAAATCTGACAATTCGAGAGAACCTTGAGTTCTAGGCATGTTGTAGCACAAGATAATTAGTGTGCGGAGCATTTTCATTTATATAGTGCTCTGTGAACACAAATTAGTTAGCATAAATCAGTTAAATGATGAAAACTTAGGTGTCTATTTACTTGTGACCACTCAGTGTATATATATTTCAAAATTTAAGGGGTTTCTTAAAAATTTCAATGGATAGAAAATTATCATAACTATTGAATTTTAATAAACTATTAAATGTTCTTTGTGACAATTTAATCATATCTCACAAAGAAATTTATACCATTACATGTGTTTGTCAATAAAATTCAAAGTCTGAACAAAGAAGTCACATTTATTGGCTAATTTATGCCAGTACCTAGACTGCTATATTTGATAAAACGTTGTCATAAATTAAGAGTTTCATTATAATAACAATGTATACATATGATGCATTAGTCTCAATCTACAGGATTTCCTGGTATGAGTTGAAATGGTGCTTGCCAATTTCAAAAGTTGCTCTATAATTATATTATAAAGCAATATATGTAGGAAAACATTCTCAGGTAAATAAATTAAAAACACTGAATTACAAAACTATATTTGCCCAAAAGATTCTTAAACTTGAATTAATAAATAGATAAAATATGATCATACATACATTTACGCTTCAAAATAAGTGAACTTTAACCTTTATTCAATCAAACAACTCCTGTCTTACACTACTGTTATGTAATAAGTTTATTACAAATATTATTATAATCAAATACAATAATTAAGGAGATTAATTACGTGAAATTTCATCCTACATGTATAAATATTTCATGTGTGTGTGTGTGTGTGTATATACATATATATATATACACGTGTATATGTGTGTGTTGCTCTTTCTCTTAAACCTATAAATTAAGGTTAAAGAAACTGTTTCATCCTTTGGACATGCAAGGGTCAAAGTTGGAATGTCACAACCTTTATACAGTTACATTCAAAATTTAATTAAACTACTTTATTATCAATGTATGTTAATAAACTTGACATCAAAAACACAGTTTATAATTCAGATTTTTATATTATCTAAATTTTAATTTCTTTATTCAAAAGAAGGTATTTAAATAAGTTCTCAATCTTCTCTTCTGAATCACAAGATGTGGTGGTGCTTCGACTTCTCAGTTATAGATTTGTTCTCTTCCCCTATAAAGGCTTTAGACTGTTCAAGCAGTTAGAATCAGATACTATGGCTATTCACGAGCCTGAATATAAAATTTCAGCCTCTTCTTGCTTTACTGAGATATCCCCTCCTATATATTCCATCATTTGAGAAATATCTATAATTCTCTGACATTGCTATTGGACATATTTGTAACCAACAGAATAAGTATATTCTATTCTATATAAATCAGACATTGTTTTGTTTTAGTGATCAAAGCCGATAATACTTGGAACATGTTTGATGTGTTTACACTAAAGACAATGCTCCAAGCAGTAATGGAGTTTTAACCCATTTATAGGTTAGTTAGAAAGCCAGATATGTTATGATATATTTTGTGTTCTAAAATGTACACTTAAACTAAATGAATTATTTGCTAAATTTCTTAGTTTTTAGGTACATTTTACATTTATTCTTAAATTTTTTAAAAGTGACCGAAATGTAAAAATTAAATATTTATCATGTTTTATAAGAAAACTTCCAAGAAAAAAGATCAACTGAAGAAAAAAGACATCTTTCTGAGGAACACATGGGCTGCTGTCATGTGATGTAACTCAATAGTTTGTTTACCTAAAGCTCTTGCTAAAGGATTACTTAGTTACTCTAGTTAAACATGATTCAAAGACAATAAATTTAAATGAAAATAGATGCAAAACTATTATTAGTCTGAGGCAATTTCAGATAAATACCTGTAAATTATCTGTTACAATCTGCAGTCATTGTAGAAAAAAAAATTTTTAATTTCATATTTTTCAACTTTCAGTACAGGCGATTTTGCCAAAGATGGTGTTAGGATAGAGAATATAAGAGATAAAGTATAAAGTTTTACCAAACTTATGATATTCATGTAGGAGGTTTCACACATTATGCAAATGAAATATGAAAAACTGCACAAAGTTGCACAAAGAAGTATTTTTATGCTTAGCATGAAAATCCCCTTTCATTCAGACTGACACAGTAAAAGTTTTGTAAATTCACAGACAAGTCTTTAATAAAAGTACATTATTAAAACATCTGACTTGTAATGTTTACTAGCAGCTTGCCAAATTTTATGAATAATCACTTAGTAAATTCAGAGTTACAGTTTATAGAGTTTCATGGTTACATGGTCAATCAAAATGACTGAGTCCATATACAGAGTTAAAATGTGATGCTTCATAAAGAATTGTCAATTTTATTGATTTATTCTAAGGTAAAATTTGTTAAAATATAAACTATTAATATTACAAATTGGTGATTACCTATGAACATCATCATAATGGTAATAAATTTGATTTCTGGATAGTTGAAATAATCAAAAAGTAATAATCAGAAACCCTGGTTAATTATTTTCATGACGTTAATTGATTTAATCATAATTTCGATGGTTTCTTTTGTGTGGCACTAGATGATGTTCATAGGTTGATGTTCACTAGATTTTTGACTAATTCAAGTTTGTTCAGCTTGTGGTAACTTGAGAAATACCCACAGAGTAGAGGAGTCAGTCCCAGAAATAATAGAAGGCTCACAGGTTTCATATGTGGGTGTATATTTCCTGATTGAGGAGACAGTTGAACCACAAAGAATGAGATAGGACAAAGATTTAATGGAAATCTTCACTGTTTACAATGTAAACAACAATGCACTATCATAAAATACTAGGCAACACAGTTTGTGGTAGACAAGTGATTGTATGTTTGTATGTGTGATGAATAGAGTGTGGGACTAGCAAGGGCAATGAAGCCTTTATCAAACAATATGTTCTTGCTAATGCATTTGCATCACCCCTGTAATTTAGATTAGCATATAAAAGAGAATCAATAAAAGAGTGTGTCTCCAAGTTAAAATGTCAAACAATAAAGTTAACCTTCACTTTAGCATCTGCAAAATCAAAGTTCACACTCAGATTTCACCACAAT